GCAGTGCAAGTGTTTTCTCCTCCCGTGACAACTGCACTGAAGCTCTTGCAAGAACAGGCGGGCCACACGTGCGACGCAAGCTTCGCGGGTGTCGGAGCGACGGTGCAATTTATGGACACCGTGCACCGCTGGTTCGTGCTCATGGACGTGAGTAACTGTACCCAGCACATACATCAGAAGAATGCAGACTGCAAGCAGTTTGAACCTGCAGGCGATGAACGGCTAATCTGGCTGGAGATAAGCTTCCTCGACTACCTGGCCGATCTCAAAAGTCAGTGCCTGGCAAAGAACTTCCTAACCAAAGAGACTTACGAGGGTCTTGTGATCACAACTCGTTCCAACGTTGAGTGCATTAGATATCTTCTTGAAGAGATGTCTTTTCACTTCGTTTTGACGAGGAAAATATTATCGGACCCTCTCGAGTCGTTCTTTGGCTGGCTAAGGAAATCAGCAGGATCAAATGGTCAAACGGACGTCCGTGCCGTGCTCACAGGCATTGAGAAAACCCTCAAGACCGGTGTCGCATCGGCGTCGAGTACAAGCAACATAATGGCAGCAGAAGAGAGTAATTGCTTGTCAACGCTGCCGTAATAGAAAAACACAAGGGTGCAAACCAGCGAGGAATTCCCTGCAGTTGCACTTAGAGAGCTCATAGAGCGGCTAAACCTAGATAAGCCTCTACTTCCCACTCCAGATGTGGCCGCATTGGCTATGGTCGGTGACTACCTCGCAAGAGCCGTACGAGAAAACATCAAATGTGAGGAGTGCTTCGCGCTCTTAACAAAGCCAAGCGCCTCGACCCCATCGGACTCGCTCATTAAACACCAAGACCCTGGTGACTCCTTTATCCGTCTGCACAACTTCAAAATGTTCTCTACGCACTACAGAAGTTCGTCGAAGTTCTTCTAGCGACAAGAAGGCGTATGCATCACCCTCTAAAGGAGGCTGTGAACAATGCTGCTGAAACCCTCCGCGAGCATAAAGCTTTGATGTGTTCGAAGCCAGGGCACCAGGAGAATTTGCTCAAACTGTTGCTGACAAAGTTCTTCCGCCCAATATTCACCAACTTCGCTCTGAAAGCGACAGACAAACATGACGTCACCAAATTGTTCGAAATAAAGCCGCTTTCACGAAAGACCCTGAAACTGTGAGCTTGATCTCACAGCTGGGGGCCTAAGTGAAAGGTCCAGTTTTCACAATATGCCTCATGTTGCTAGCTTTCAATGTACTGTGGGGATGTAAAGAAACGCGAAAAGTGCGGCATCTATATTCTCTGCTGTTTCGAATTTCTTTTCGGGTTGTTGTATCCTGCATGATAATTAAAAGCCACTAGAATAAAACTATTCTAGCATATTTTATTTTTATTCCCACCAGGGTCACAGCGGGATGCAAAGATCGCGCCGCACTGTTTGAGTTTTTTTTTTTTTTTCTATCACCCCTGTGCATCATGAAGAAACACCAATGCAACCTGCGCATTTATTTTACAGCTCCATCTCTAATACGAACGCCAGTTTCTCTCCAAAAGCATGCGCGCAACAGCTTAGTCGCGTCGTCTGCTCTGAGAGTGGGTATGGGGTGACAGCGCCGTGTGGTGGCGAGCGCATAAAATAGAAGGTACAGCGCCGTATGGTGGCGAGCGCATGAAATAGAAGGTACGGGCGGGGGGCGCCTTGCTCCGCTCCCCACTCGGCGGGCATGAAAAAATATAGGAGGCTATGCCCAGATCCCACAATAGTTTCGAAATACTCATCGGCCTTGCCACCGCGTGCTATCGGGAGTCAGAAACCTTTCTGTACTTTGGCAAAAAGAAAGAAATGGCTTTGCGGTGGGCACTTTCAGCAATATTTCCTGTGGCACCGTGTTTCTTCCTCGGTTGGCGGCCACGGCGCATATCAGGAGATGCAAAATTGCAGCTGGTGGTTTATGCGTAGTGCATTTAGTGCATAGTTTACGGCGCCCGTCCCCAGCTCCTTTAATACGTACCTACGTATTAAAGGAGCCCTGAAACACTTTTTCAAATAACCATGGATTGAAGTCAATGGAAGAGCTTATTGCCTGACGAATTCAACACACCGAAAAATTTCAAGATTCCGTCCAGTGCGAGTGGAGTTACCAAGATTTGTCACATGCTGCATTTGCATTCTCTCTTCTCTCGTGCCGACGATAGCGCTGGAAGCTAAGCAGGGAGAGATGGCAGGCATACAGAAATTTGTCACGTGTCTCTCGTGACCTATAGCACCCTTTTTCTTCAAATGCGCGGCTTTCTTGGTGTGATCGCGCATGCGCGCGTGGACAAGCAGCGGCTTTTTGCGGCAATCTCTGCAACGACCGAGGGTGCCATGTTCAATTCAGCCAATGACTTGATAGATGGGCTTTTTACGAGTAATTTGTAATTTTTGAGCGTCTTTTGTCATTTGTCACGATTCACTAAGGGCCATTTCTACTGCAACTTTTGAACAATACTTCCCTGCACTTGTTTTTTTTTTAACCAGGTCGGACGCTTTCAGTGGATGTGAAAAGGGTAAAATCTAATGGTTGGTCTTGTACTTCACAGTACATGAGCGCCAAAGAGGCCAAATGGGGATACAAATAATAACCTTTGGTAGATTCAGAAATCGGGTACATTTAATTTTGCTATATACACAAGAAAAAGCACCTCAGGACCCAAGCACCCTGCCCCCAACCACAAAAAAATTGAAATACACCAGAACTGCAAACCACGCTACAAAGAAACGAAATCTGAGCAGGAAAAAAAATGCTTTCTGCTAAATGTGTGCAGTCCAAATAAATCAATTTCAAGCTGGGATTTCATTCATGAATTTCCTACATACAATAACTTTTGTTTAAGAAGGTTTCAACCATCCATTTTCATTGCACTTCCTACAGTTCCGATTCCAGATTATTTGGATATGCTAATTTGCTTTGCAACTTTCTCAGTTTAGAAAAAATTTTGCCCCTAAAAGTACCCATAAAACATTTTGTATTTTGAGAACTACATACTAAAAAACAATTTCATATTTGAAATAGGCATAAACCGTCAAATTTGGCACGTTAGATTTGTTTCTTGTGCACCTAGCCCCTCCAAGTAGTTAGCCCAGCGACTGAACATCATTCAGAATCATTTTGAATTTGCCCATTCAGCAACATGTTTTTTTGACAGACATGGGCGCAAACCAATGTGCGTGTTATAACTGTCAGTTCAAGCACCCAAATATTTATATTCTCAAGAAAAATACTTTCACCACGCTTTCGGGGGGGGGGGGGGGGGGGGGGGGGGACTTAGTCGTATCAGGGCGTTGAAAGCTATTTTTGTCATGCAGTGAGTGACCTAGATCCTTGGGGTTTGCACGAACCAGCAGGCAAATGCGCGCATCAGAAGTGAACCCAGCTAGCTGCAACTCTGAAGAGGCACGCAGCAATCCGATAATACCACTGACTGATTGACTGATATGTGGGGTGTAACGTCCCAAAACCACCATATGATTATGAGAGACTCCCAGTGGAGGGCTCCGGAAATTTTGACCACCTGGAGTCCTTTCACGTCCACCCAAATCTGAGCACACGAGCCTACAGCATTTCCGCCTCCATCAAAAATGCAGCCGCCGCAGCGGGGATTCGATCCCGCGACCTGCGGGTCCGACAATACCGCTGAAGCTGCTAGAAAATGTAGAGATAGTGCCACCTAGCAGCATCCCCGTAAAGGGAATACGCCGGAGCCTTGCCGATCGAATCACTCCAGTATCACTATAGTTTCACCACACAGTTGTTCGTCTCTTTAGCGCACAGAATAACAGCCCTTTTGAGTGCTGTGAACATGTGCTGAAAGATTTTGATTTGAAAGGACTTACGCCTTGAATTAACCTCTTGTTTGTCTCAGGCGCACTAGGATCTGTTTTATCTAATACAGTCGAATCTCGTCAGTTATTTGAATTATCAGAAGTTCTCAGATAGATGACACTGGGTGAGGTGACACCACGCATTATGACTAAGCATAGATTTTATCACATTTAGAAATTTTTCAAGTGTTTTTAAACCCCAACTACACGCAATGAAGAGAAAGCAGGGGTGTAAGGTTCACAAGTTTATTGGCGATTTACTGCTGATCAGGCCTTCTAAAGAAATCGTGAATCCCCAACTGCTTCTTTGCTATAGGTATGTGCTTTCAGCACAACACAGTTTACCATTTGTGTGCTTTGTTTCAAACATTTGTTTACTAGCAAAGCCTTTTTCCTTGAAAGCCTGAGGTGCTTATTTTTCATTTTGAGACTTGAGATTATTTAAGCATGGAAATTTTTAAATAGTAATAAGAAAGCAGCACATATTTTCTGGTAAGGAACTGCCAAAAGTATGAATTAACCAAATGATGGTGTTTGAATTGGGAGCTTTTAAATACATTGAAAGAATAGAGAGCCAACCAAAAAATTGCATTTTGTTTGAATTAACCAAAAGTATGAATTATCAGAGTTTGAATAATCGAGAGTCTACTGTATTTTCTCTGCATTTTGTTATCTACTTTGCTGTTAACGACACCTTGTGGTATTCTTTTCTTGCGGAGTCAATGAACACCCATGGTAACACTCTTATAAGCCATGCGCATTACAGGTTCTTTTCAATGAATCAACCCCAAAATACATGCTCTGAAGAGAGAAAAGGAGAACCTCTTTCATCATATAGTGGTACCTCCTGAACTGACCACTGTTCTTGCAACTACTGATTGAAACAGCAACTCCTTCATCAACGATAGACATCCAAAGAGCCGTGCTCAACACTACAGCTTTATCTACACTTCCTACCACTTTCAGCACCACATGACAGACTACACTGCCTCGTGGCTCAGTTTAAATTGTTGAAGTTTCACTGTAATATAAATAAAAAGGCAGTCAAGTGGCAAAAGAATGTAATGGCGAGTCAGCAATCAGAACAACTTGCCAACTTATTATTACCTTTTTAGGCAATGGCAAAACACTTAGTTACAATGCGCAATAAAATTTACTACTAACCCGGTTGCTACTGCCATCATTTTCTCGAGGACAACTGACAGAAACTTGCACTTCTGTTCCGCACATGTCCACACTAACATCTTCTTCATCCTCCTGTAGCAATCTGCAAGAAGTACAGTGAACATAAAGTCAACACTACCTGCAGTTACTAAACATTAATTACCCATCATACACATTAATGAACAAATTTATTTGATGGAGATTTGAATCCTGAAATGCTTTAACAGTGAGCTCGTTTTCAGAGTTGTACACCAGTAACACAGGGGACGGGTCGGTCAGCTGAAATGACAGTACAGTATGCATATTTATTTATTTACCTAACTCATGTTAAAGGGGCCCTCTAACGCTTTAAAACATCGGTGCTGACAACATAACTTGTAGTGGCGCTCGCCAGAACTATTGCGAGCAGAAATGACAACGAAAGGTGCAGACCTGTGATTGGATAAATGTATTGTTAAATGTTATTACGGCATTGCATCAAAATAGGGATTACTATTCCATTTCTTTTTTTCTTTATCATGGTTTTCCACTGAACGCAGAAGAGAATAAAGCGTGAAAACTGCAAAGCCAGTCAAAGAATGCGCCAAATGCCACGATGCTGGAGGTAAGGACCGGGGACGCTCCAGGCACTGTTGTTTGAAGAAGCTAAAAGAATAAAATATGCAAGAGCATTGATATATAGACGCCACCACAAAAATAAAGACCAGTAAAGCTACAAAACATTACAGAAGTGTTTGCGAGCTGCCTCATTTCGCACGTGTCGTTCCCTCTTCAAGTACCACATTATTTGTTACCATTGCAACAGCGTCCCCAATACGTTAAACGTAACGGTCAATATGGAATACAAGCTTCCTGTACAATGGGGCTTTAAGTACATTTCAATGGGCAGCCTTCTGGCGTCACAAGGTGAGGGAAGCACGATCAAGTGAGCCCGCCGAAATCGAGTTGAGAGAAGCATCCATTTCATTGTATTTTGATATCTGTAAGCTGAATAACTTTGCACTGTGTGCTCCCATCGCTGCCGTTTTTGCAGCACCTATTTCTTAAGCCTTCATTCAGTGTACGCAACCAGCAAGAAAAATATCTAAAACAATGAGGTCATGAAAAGTGTTGAGGGCCCCTTTAAGTGAAACCAAGGCAAAACTGAAAAACTGAATATCGACTAGAATCCACGTAACTGCAGCCTCTAAATCAAAGAAAGAAAGTCTGCTTACATGAGTTTAGGGTCAGTGTCATGTGGCTGCTGTTTAGGATGAAATAAACTCTCCAAAAGACTTCCGTCGGACGTTACACCGTCAAAGGCATCCCCGTAGACTCCAGCACCTTCATCCATGTCATTGGCTGTCATGGTGCCATCCGCTGCACAGTGCAGTAAAAGAACTTTCATAACCTCACAAAAATTGAAGCAAGCAGTAGTCCCCCCAGGAACTGTTTACTGCAATAAAGCCTGTACCAAGAAAGCAGATTAAAAATACAAACATTCTTGAAGTAAAAAACGAAACACTGTTGGATGCACTTTCATACAAGAAAAATGTTAGAAGTTTGCAAACTCGTGATTACATTGCTTATGCCTGTGTTGATGATGTTTGATGTTTTTTGGCACAGGGGCCATTTCACGGCTAAAGAGCGCCAGTTCATCTTATTTAGATACGGACAATGATTGTGATAGCGGCTGTATAAGGGCCATCAAATTCCTCGCGGTAAGGCGGGTAAAAACATACAAGTAATAAAATCATGACCACGCTGTGAAAGGTGTGTGTGGTGTGAATAGATGACAAAAGTTGGTGATAATAAAAAACGATGGTGGACATGTATGGCTTTAGCAAAAGTGCCTCACTTGTTCATACCTTTGCGTCCAAGGGCCGTGAGGCAAGTGCTTTGTTGTGTAGCCACCGCAGCGAAAACCTCTCTGGAGAGGTCATGCTACGGAATGCCCGGGTATATGATATGAAAACTACGAATTTCTTTTAAAAATGCTAACAATAATTTATGACTAGAAAGTGGTCCCCTACCGACGAACATTGCAGGGTGTAAAGGTATATGTTGTCGGTAGGGTAATGGAAAGTGTTGTTTTCTTAGAGTTTCTAACTGCTTGCACTGAATTAAAATGTGAAGAACTGTTAGTACCTCACCACATCTGTCACACAATGGTGGATCGCCACCGGACAAAAGATATGAGTGTGTCGTGTATGCGTGTCCTATCCTGAGCCTCATTAGTATTACCTCTGTATAACATGATTTTGATACTGGTGGCCAATGGCCAAGGTGTGGCTTGATAATGTGTAGTTTGTTTTGTGTGTGTCTATTTCACATGCTCTGCCAGACGTCCCTGAGCTTTCGTTTGAGAGACGGCTTAAGATCAGGGGCCGGGATTGATATGGGGTAGAGGCAGTGCTTTTGTGGACGGATGCAGCAAGCTGATCCGCCATCACGTTGCCTTGGATCTCACGGTGCCCTGGCACCCAGCACACTACAACATGTTGTTTGAGTGTGTAGAGTGTGCATAAAATAGAGTAAAGTGAGACGAGGACAGGGTTTTTTTTTTTGTTTTTTAAGATTGTGCAGAGCCGTTACCACACTGAGGGAGTCCATATAAATTACTGCTTTTTGTAGTTGTTGTTTGATGTGTTTAGCCGCCACAAGTATCGCGTAAGCTTCCGCTGTGAAGATACTTGTGCCTGGATGTAGAGGGCCAGCATCCGAAAAGGATGGGCCGACAGCAGCGTAGGACACAGAGGAGTTAGACTTGGAGGCATCTGTAAAGAACTCAGGACATGTGTATTTATGTTGAAGTTCCAGGAAGTAGTTTCGGATATGGGCAATAGGTGCATGTTTTGCAACTTCTAGGAAAGACACATCGCAGTCTATCATCACCTGCCACTGCCACGGTGGCGGGTATACTACAGGGGCCATTAACAAGTGACACTCCAGTTTCCTGAGCTAGACCCTTCAGGCGAACTGAGAAGGGCTGCCTCGTCGAAGGCCTGTTTTGAAACAGAATGGAGCTCGACAAATCATTATTAGTAGAGTATGAGGGGTGCTTCTTGTCTGCTTTCACCTTAAGAAAATATTCAAAGGACATGTAGGTTCTTTGTAGATGAAGCGACCATTAATTTGACTCAACGTAAAGGCTTTCTACAGGGCTGGTGCGAAAAGCACCCGTAGAAAGGCGGATGCCCAAATGGTGCACGGGATCCAGCATCTTCAAAGCACTTTGAGTCAAAGACTGATGACTGATAACAACGGCCCCATAATCTAAGCGGTTGCGAATGAGGCTTCTATACAGGTTCATGAGACATTGCCTATCACTACCCATTGCCTATCACGTAGTACGTGACAATTTTATAACATTCATGGCTTTTAAACATTTTGTTTTTAAATACTTGATGTGTGGTACAAAGGTAAACTTGTTGTCCAAGATTAAGCCTAAAAATTTATGCTCCGCATTGACAGACAGACGTTGACCGTTCAGTTCAATGTCAGGTTCTGAGTGCATGCCTCTCTTTCAGGAGAACAAGACACACGTGCTTTTTTCTGGGTTCAGCCGGAATCCGTTTTTCTCTGCCCATTTGGAGACCTTGTTTAAACCTAACTTGACCTGCTGCTCACACATTGCTAGGTTGCACGACTTAAAAGCCAAGCTGGACGTCATCGACCTATGTGAAATAGAACATGTTGCGGGGGATGGACAGGTGCAAGGAATTCATTTTGATAATAAAAAGTGTACAACTGAGTACACCACCTTGCGATACTCCCGTTTCTTGCACAAATGTTTGGGAGAGAATACTGCCCACACGGACACGGAATATCCGATTGGACAAGTAACTCTCGATTATGGAAAGCATTCTACCGCGCACACCCAGGTGAGACAAGTCTCTTAATATGCCAAAACGCCATGTTGTGTCGTAAGCCTTCTCGATATCGAGAAAAACTGAGAGGAAGTATTGTTTGTGGACGAAAGCGTCTCTGATCTGTGCCTCGATACGCACCAGATGGTCGGTGGTGGATCTACCCTCTCGAAACCCACACTGGCATTGGTCGAGCAGATTGTGTATTTCAAGGAAATGTAAAAGTCGGCGATTTATCATTTTTTCAAAAAGTTTACAAAGGCAGCTTGTAAGTGCAATGGGCCTATAACTTGAAACTGAGGAAGGGTCCTTGCCCTGTTTCAAAATAGGGATAATAATAGCCTCTTTCCAGGAAGCAGGGATGGTGCCAGAAAGTCAGCATTGTACAGGGAGAGTAAAGTTTTTTGCGTTTTGAGCGGCAGGTTTTTCAACATTTCATACGTGACATGGTCGTAGCCTGGGGCAGAAATACTGCAGGAGTTTAGTGATGTTTGTAGCTCAGCTAAATTGAAAGGTTGGTTATATGCCTCGTAATTTGTGCACTTGTATTCTAGTTTCTGCTTTTCTATCCTTGCTTTGTATCTTTGGAAAGCTTCAGTGTAGTGTGACAAGCTAGACACCTGCTCGTAGTGTGCACCGAGGAAGTTCGCCTGATCTTCCAGGCTGTCACCCTGTGTGTTTACGAGTGGGAGTGTGTGTACTTGTCTTCCTGCTACCCTACCAACCATGTTCCAGACCACATAAGGTTCCGGTAGTTCATGTATCAGTGACTGGAATTCATGTTTTTCGAGACGGTACTGTGGAGGTATGTATGATGGTGACAAGTTTGTTCAAAAGAACTGCTCGAACAGCCACTGCCTCAAGGGATGTTTGTAGCGATAGATGTGTACATGCAACGCCCTGATCAACTATAATGGCCACACCACCAGGTGACACAGCGTCATTGCGGTCTTTTCTGAACATTGCATAACGACGTAGAAAATTGGTGTTTCTGGAATTTAAGTGTGTCTGTCTCTTGTATACACAGCACTTTTGGGGAGTGTTTGTGTAAGAGTTCCTGGATATCGTCGAGGTTTCTAAGCAATCCTCTGACGTTCCATTGTATTATTTGTGTATCCATTATGAGTGTAAATGAGTGCTGTGTGTACTAAAGAAGTATTGCATCAAGTTAAGAAGCCTTTTCAGGCCCTGTAATGATGGTTTTTGATTTTCTGGCGTGCTCCAATGCGCCGCGCCTGTCCTTCGGCACCAAAGACACCGTTGGACGAGGCGCATCCAGCACCTCGGACGAGGTGCTGGATGCCTGCTCGCGGTTTACGCATGCAGGCACGGAGGTCTTAGGGCTATCTGTCGAGACAGAAGGCCCTGGGGCTTCAGGTCCGGAGGCCTGCAAACCTTTTGGTGGCGGAAGAGCCTGTGCTATTTCGGCTGAGGGGGTGAATGGCGCTGCCGCTCGTCCACTTTGTGTGGTACCTGCGGGCGCTGCGGATTTTGGTGGCACTGCCCCCTTTCGTGCCACCTCCGCAAATGAAGGACCTTGCATTAGTAGACGCTTGCGCGCCTAACTAAACTAGATGTTTTCATTTACTTTCAGGGTGAGTACTTCTTTCTCATGTTTCCATGTAGGGCATGTGGGAGAGTAAGCACCATCGCAGTTCGCGCAGTGGGTAGTGGCTTCTTCACATTTGGCTGTAGCGTGTTCCTGCGAACTACACTTTGCACAGGTTCGACGGCCGCGGCAGCTCTGAGAACCGTGGCCGAATCGCTGGCAGTTAAAACAACGTCGAGGGTTGGGGATGTAAGGTCGGACCTTTAACTTCAAGTAGCCTGTTTCAATATATTCTGGAAGTGTGCTTGTGCAAAATGTAAGAATGAGGTGCTTTGTCGGGGTTTCTTTATTATCAGGCCTAATCTGAATTCTCTGCACATGCGTTACATGCTGTTCGTTCCAGCCCTCGAGGAGCTCACTGTCTGTCAGGTTAACGAAGTCTTGATCAGACACTACGCCTCGGGAACTGTTCAGGGAGCGGTGTGGGGCACTGCCCCCTTTCGTGCCACCTCCGCAAATGAAGGACCTTGCATTAGTAGACGCTTGCGCGCCTAACTAAACTAGATGTTTTCATTTACTTTCAGGGTGAGTACTTCTTTCTCATGTTTCCATGTAGGGCATGTGGGAGAGTAAGCACCATCGCAGTTCGCGCAGTGGGTAGTGGCTTCTTCACATTTGGCTGTAGCGTGTTCCTGCGAACTACACTTTGCACAGGTTCGACGGCCGCGGCAGCTCTGAGAACCGTGGCCGAATCGCTGGCAGTTAAAACAACGTCGAGGGTTGGGGATGTAAGGTCGGACCTTTAACTTCAAGTAGCCTGTTTCAATATATTCTGGAAGTGTGCTTGTGCAAAATGTAAGAATGAGGTGCTTTGTCGGGGTTTCTTTATTATCAGGCCTAATCTGAATTCTCTGCACATGCGTTACATGCTGTTCGTTCCAGCCCTCGAGGAGCTCACTGTC